GGACAGATAAGGTCAAATGATATTGCTTACAGAATAAAGCAGACTTCACACTGGATCAGAGCAGTGTCTGTCTAGCCTTGCTATATCATCTCTGACAATTTTAACAGCAGTTTCACAGTGGCCCTGTCATTATAAGCTAAATATAGCCCTCTTCTTCAGTTTCACAATAAACTCTATCCATCAAGGTCTCTCAAGGCCTAGCTGAAATCACCAGTAAGCAACTTACTGGAGTTTATTTACAGGATAAAAAACAAAACAAAACACATGCAAGATCTTCTGGCTAATAGACAGAAGAAAAATAAAGGGAAGATTGGCTTGTCTTTTCTACTGAGCTCTACTTGTGGCCAAGATTGAAAGTTTCCGGGGTCTGCTACTAATTCCATTACGTGGCAGTTCATAATGATACAGTCAGTCATCTGTTACTTAAGACAGATGACTGTTCTCAACACCTCTTAATAAAATTAAGACACTCCTTTCTGGAGGTCTTACTTAATTACTAATCTCATGATATCTTTGTAATCTTCTGATTTACCTTCTCCTGCTTGTTTCTCTGATCTGGCTGCTCTTCTGAATGCTGACTGGTAGGTGGCAAAATGATACTGTTGTCACTACCAATTACTCCTGGTAGGGAGTCCAGCCAAAGGCTGTCGTGGACCTAATGAGGTGTACCCAATCAGGAGAAAAATGCAGCTCCATTTCCATCCCCTGGTGGTAACTTAGTTTGTAAAAGTGATCAATTCTTGGTTAGGTTAAGAAGAGGAAAGAAAGAAACCTGCATAATTACCCTGTGTGATCTCCTGCACAGCTGAGGTGGGGAGGGAAGCTGGCAGCCAAGAGAAGAACAGAGAGATCCACAGGCTGAGAGTCCTTAAACATGCTCTGCCTCTGAGATAGAAGCATCTGTCTTTCCTATTTAATACATTATCCCAAACAACAAGGGCATTAGACTTGATTCTAAACGTATGAAAGAAAAGCAATGAAAAAATCCTACTGCCTTCAGGAAGGGCAGAAGTAAATGCTTTCACAGGACACAGTGCGGCTACATGCTCTTTAGATGAAGACAGAGAAGGAGTAATGTTTAGGAAAAGTATAAGATATAGAGGAGCAGAGAACATAGACTGGGATCCATCTTACCTACTTTTAGCCATCTAAAACTTAAGTGTCTAATGCATATCAGTCATTTAAGCTACCTCTGTAGCCATTGTGCAGAGAGACAGATGCACTTCAGACAGCTGATTAATCCTTCCCACTCTACCAGCAGCATATAAGAGTGTTACTCATACAATTAAATATGATGCAGACTCCCCATAAATAGGTCATATAATCTCTCTGGGTGGCCACCTGCAACAAGAATGGTGAAATTCTTTCTGGCACTCCCCAAAATCTGTCTCACTAACAATCACTGTACTCTTTCCAACACATTCTGCTGGTTATATATTAGTCCTCATTATTTGGGGAATATATTAACACTGTCAAAGGACCTTTGACAGTGGATTACTTTATGCAAAAGATGTTTAAACGTGAAAGTAATGCAGAAACATATGGGAAGAAGCAGGCAGATATGTGTAGAAGGTAAGAAACAGCTTGCTTTTTTGGCTCTCCATGTCAGCTTTGATCTATCCTGGCAAACTACCTATTGGCACTTGAAGCTTTGACTGTGCAGGTTTGCCCAGTTCTCCTCTCAAGCTGAAATTCACTATGTAGGGAGAAAACAACAAGAACGCGTGACACAACCCACATAAAGAGACATACATTCTTGACTTCCGTTATCTCCTGCAGGAAGAAAAGTCAGGAGGAATTTGACAGAGGTGTGTTTGTCTTATTCAAAGTAAAAAACTTGCTTTGCAGTAAATCACATTTAGTATAAGTTAGCCTTTACTGACTAGTACAGTTGCTCAAAAAAATGTTGCATATAGGATATTGAGATAGGATTATTAATAAACAATGATTTTTAGTGGGTTCAGGAGGTGAAGGCATGTACCAACTTCAAAGTTCCAAAAGGCATTAAAAATAAAAGACATAGAGGAAAAGCAAGACAAGACAAAGCTGTCTGTGCATAGCTGGGAATCATCACCAAGACAGCATTCACCTCTGTGGTCTCTCTAGCATAGCAGATTGTGACAGTGATAGTGACAAACCACTGCCATTCTTGTCTGCGAGCACTCTGTACTTTCCATCAAGATGTGCTCAAGATCCTGTGGGTTGTTCCCATTCATGATGAATTTTGTGCCAACAAGATCATGTTTAGATGGGCATAAGCATTACATTTGGGCTGGTGCTAATGTTCTGTGATTGAATTTCACTAGAACAGGTGTCTAGATGCCCTCTGCTGCTCTAAGTTTTGAGTTCTGGTAATGTAAACTAAAAGATAGAAGATGGGGTATAGGAAAGGGGCAAGAAAGGGTGACTCCCAATGTCCTTGGCGAATGCATCCCATGAGAACCATCCATACAGTCAGTATAAGGGCTTGCAGGTGCAAGGCTGTGAGGAAAACCATGAGAAACAAACAGCAGGAAACAACAAGGGAAAAATATTGCCCTGACAGCTCTAGAAAGCCCTGCCACAAGAGCCTAAGTGAACAGCTGCAGCGAAGCTGCAAAGTCAGACAGCAAAGCAGCAAATGGAAGTGCTTCACAGTGATTACAAGGCACTGTGCAAGAACAGAATGTGTTTTGGCTAGATATTTCTCTATTCCAGAATCTAGAAAAACAAAAACAACAAAAAAAAGCCCTACCAAATACACTGTTTACAGCTTTGAAAACACTGCTATTTGGCTTCCAAAGTTTCCAAACAACAAATGTTTGTATTTTCAATTAAATTGAATTGACAAAAGTGTCATCTTTTCTTTCTCCTGGAATTAATTTCAAGTGTATTCTACAACTCTTTTATTTGTTTAAAACAAAAATGAAAACTGGAAAAAAATATTTGCCATTTTCATTTTCATGCTTAAAATCAAATCGTTGAGCTGAAATCAGCTCTAATGGAACAGCATTTCTGAAGAGAATATTGTTACAATGTGACAACATTGAATCATCTCTTTGAAGTTTATTCTCTGTAAACTTTTTTTTCCCATTTACCTGTTTTTCCCTTCTTACTTCATCTCAACCACCTGCACAAGACCTTCAAATATGAACTTACCTCTTTATAAAAAGACATCCTGCTCTTTGCTAGGTTATTCTTTCTCTTTTACTAATGTTCTCACACCATCCATCTTGTCAAATTGCCTCTACTTTGAAGTTCGCTTATCTTCTTCTCTTCTTCAATATGTCCAAGGCAAACCAACTGGCATACATAATAGAGAAAAGCCTGCCTACATGTGTCACTGAGACAGAGGTTCTCTAATTCTCATGGGAAATCTAAGATTGCCTTCTCAACTTGAGGAATACTCTGCTTTATGCAGTCCTTTTCCTCATCCTCATTGGGATGGGCATCTTCACCCAGTGCAGAGCTCAGCTCACCAGATCTACTATCTTTCTTTGTAAGCTAAGTGGCAAAGGTTTGCTATTCTGAGCCATTCAGATTTTTCCCCATCATATCACTAGAGAGATGACCATTAGTTAGTAAGTCAGGACATCACAGTTGAATTAAATTATTTTGACCTCAATAAACAATTAAATTCTCAAGCACTTCATGGAACGCAAAATTCCGCTTTGCTCAGAAGGAGAACAAAAATTCAAGGCTCAGGCAAGTCCTCTGATATCTGTGTATTGTATATTGTACTCTCTCAGTGGAACCCTGTTCATAGAGAGCTGAAAACAATCCCACGATTGAGACCTAAGATCATGCATTTCTAGAACAGCTTTTCTTCCATGTTACTTCACAAACATTCCAACTCTTCAAATGTATTTTCCCAAATTTCTTTTGCTGGACTCAGAGAGTAAGGAGAAGACATAATAGTGTTTCTACTCCTACCAAAAACAGTCATCATCAATCACGACTCAGCTAAACTGACCATAATCCATTATGAAGGTGTAATTAAGTAAAACCCACCTCTCAGCTCCTAGAAGTGTGCTTTTTTTTAAACAACACATTGCAACAAACAAACAAAAAGCCACACAAAACAAACAAAAACCAAAGAGCCCTGGAGATTTCCAATTAACAGGCACTGCATTCCTCTGTGCTCAAAGTTTTACATGTTTGTTGGGATTATAAACTATGCACACAGTAGCAACATTGCTGATGCTGACCTTGCAAAACACAGCTCTGTGCTTTATGAATCAATCATCACAGCCTGGAGCAGAGAGAAAATAAGCCTGCAGAGAAACCATCGGGAGAGAAAGTGAATGAGAAGTATTTGCTGTATATCAGGACAGTGATTCCAAATTAAGCAGAATTTGTTGGTTTTCCCATAAGGCAAAACACCGAAGGCAGGAGAAGCTCAGACATAGAAATAATCACTTTATCTAGAAGATATTAGGAATTAGAACATCATAAAGCATCAGATGACCTCAAGAACTGAAGGGAAGAAGGAAAATTTTTAATCCAATTCATTTAGACCAGTAAAAAGGGTACACATGAGCTGGTCCTCAGTTTCACCTCTGAGCAGCAAAGCAAGAGGGTCCCATGAGACCCCTGCTCAGTCACCATAATATTGCAACAAATGCAAGTAACCCTTCTGCAATTCTGAAGCTGCCTGATTAACCCCTCCCAATCATAATGTAGGAAATGCTTCCACATTTTTATGCTTGCACATTTTCCTATTCTAGCTGGTGTTCAGATGGCCTCGCAAGAGCAGCCTTAAATGAATTAGCAGGAAAACCGTTCTGCATGCTTGGAAGATCAGAAAGAAAATGCAGAAGAGAAACATGCACATAATACTGTGTTTGGTATGAACAGAAAATTGTCATTTTCTTTTCATATCCTCAGTGACTCTTATGGGGTAAGATAAAAGAAATTTATAAATAACAGGAAAACAGGCATAACATTCTTGTGAAAAGGAACAGCGTGTATATTTCCTATGTAAAAATGTTATATCTGAAATGAACATAAAATGCCCTTACCTCTTATAGATAGGAAGTTCCTAAAAATATGAAGATGCACATCACAGGAAAGTGTTAGCAGCTGTGTGGTCAAATATGTAACATCACACCTGGGATTTATTTACATCACAGTTGTGGAACCAGCACCATTGATAGAACATTCACTTGCTCCCATGTGTTTAGGAAGTTTAAAGGCAATCAAAACTGGAAGAGATAAACAGGAACAGGTTGTTTAAAACTGAAGAATGCATACACAATATGTAATGATAATAATAACACAAACTTTGCAGGTTGAAGTGTCTTAACTAACAAATTTCACAACGGTCTTGAAACATTAATGTGTGCTTAATTTTCCCAATATTCTTGTGACATAGTTAAGTTCTGCTTAACCTTATTTTTCAGGTAGAGAAAAACAGGTATAACTGATTTGCTGAGTATTGCCAAGAATTAATCCATCTCAGTTCATAATTTATTTCCAGAGCAATCTGTAGGTTCTTTAGTCTTGTCAGCTGCTGAACAGTCAATCTTTCTGATGAAGGTTTTAAAATATGAACGAAAGAAGACCGATAGTAGAAAGCAGCAGAATACATACTTCTTTCTTTGTGAAATAATTTAAGCATGAATTTAATCAAATTTAATTAAAAACCTAATTATATCAGTGGTCCAGTTCTCCTTTCTGCAGAAAAGTGATAAACAAAATATCCTTGATTTCTGCCCAAAGGGAATTTTCAGATTATCTAAACCGTCACATAAGCAAGGGTTCTATCAGGCAGCCTAACAAGTAGATAACATTCATTGTACTTCATATGTACTATCTTTCATGGTAAAGAAAAGGCTCTAAATTTTTATGTAGTCTTTGTTCCAGAAGTAAAAATGTTATTATGCAATCACAATATCTGACATATTGAGAACACATGATCACATCAGTGTATTTTAATGTATTCACACTCCCAGATAGTTAAGATCTTCCTCCTTCATTTTAACTAATTCTTGGTGCAGCTCTTGGGCTGGGGATTCAAATAATCTTTCTCTTAGAAGTTCCCTTCAATGCACACCTCAGCAACTCATAAAATCAGACAGCAAATATCATGGACAAAGCACCATTTCAAGTGAATTGACATCAATTCTGTGAGGTTTGTGCGCCATGCAATACTTCAATTTGTTTCACTCAAATATTAATATCTGTTTTATTTTAACATCCGTTTACAGAAGTTTACATTCTGGGAAAGCATTGAAGTGTCAATCAACAGTTCACACAACCTCTCTAGTAGACAAGCAACATCCAAAAGAAATGTGTAAATTGGAGCATCTAGTCACTTACTCTGACAGGTATTCTTCTCATTGCTTTGTTACTAATGAACGTAAGAGTCCTGCAGAAGCAAGTGCTGGCAAGGTCACTCTGTCATTTTTGAAGAGTTGTGGCAGTTGAAAAAGGTCTCTAATTTCTGGGGAAAAAAAAGAAAAAAAAAATAAAAGCAAATATTACAGCTATCATCCAAAAAGACAAGAAGGAAGAAACATCAACGTTTATCTGTTCCAGTCCAATAAAAAAAACAAACAAAAAAACAAAAAAAAAAACAAAAGAGAACAAGAAGTACAGAAAACAAACATCCAAACACACACCTCAGCTCTCCAGGCATTGAATGGCTTCAGATGGATTCGTAAAAAGACAGCATTCACAGATGTGATTGGTCAGTTTACTTTCATCATTCTTAATGTATACAATACTTTATTTTCTTGGCTCATCTATGCAACTCTACCAAACAAGGCTCATGTATTCCCTAGTACAAATAGAAGTGTAAAGGACAATTGCTGAGCAAGAGGGACTCATTTAACAGAAGACATATCTGAATCTGGTATAGAGTGGTTCGGGAAGTTGTATATCCCTCATTTGCCACAAGGTGGAAACAATCACAGGAACTCATCTCAGTAACATAGCTGTAACAATTCAAATGTAGCAGTTAAATACCATATGTTGTACATAGGAATGCAGATGCAGCTGATGACTTAGAACAGCTTCTAACAGAGCACGTGATATGGTTTTAAATAGGTTCATGAATGCTTTTTTATACCAAATAGAACAGCATGGCTCTTTAGTGCTGTTCCAAACTATTACTTAAGCAACAAAGTAGTTTTCTAAAATGTATAGTAAGGCTTGTATTTCTTAATAAACTAGATAACTATAAAGAGTCAGTGCACTAATGAAAAGAACTGGAACTCAGATCCCAAAGTTTTAGGCAGCTAACACCTACAGTTATTTATCTCTCAGAAGATTCTGAATGGGTCATTTAGGATATAAACTGTGCTTCTGTGTTCAGGTCAGAGTCTCGCTCTACTACATCACTAGTTTAGAAATATTTTACAATGATCAAAGACAAACTATGTCTCAAAAGACAATCTTTTCATGGTGGAGAGAGGAGACAGCATAAAATAATGCCCTGCGCAATCTGATGTAGGGAGCCTGCTTTGGTAGGGAAGTTGAACTCAATGATCTCCGGTGGTCCCTTCCAACCCCTATGGTTCTGTGATTCTGTCATTTTCCTCTGCAGAATTACTGACTCAAAGAGAAGAATTTAGTGAATTCTCCTGTTCCTCCCAAATTCAGGACAAGCTAAAGTCAGTGGTGTGAGTTGCAGTAGTGAAGTTTGCTGCTGCTGAACCAAGTAAGCTACCTCTATGTTCTCCTTATACTTACTTGATGGAAAAATATAAGACTGTTTCTTAAATGTGCTAATTCACCAGTTCTACAGTATAGAATCGTAGGATCATAGAATCACAAGGTAGGAAATGGCCTGCAAGATCATCTAGTCCAACTATCCTCCTATTACCGTTGCTACAACAAGCACTAAACCATATCTCGTAGCTCCTCATCCAGACGCCTCTTGAACACTGCCAGGGATGGCGACTCTCCACCTCCCTGGGCAGCCATTCCAGTGCCTGACCACCCTCTGAGAGAAAAGTTCTTCCTTATGTCTAATCTAAACCTCCCCTGACACAACTTGTGGCCATTTCCTTGGGTCCTGGTTGTTGCCTGGGAGAAGAGGCCAAAACCCTCCTCATCACAACCTCCCTTCAGGAAGTTGTAGAGAGCAACGAGGTCTCCTCTGAGCCTTCTCCAGACTAAACAATCTCAGCTCCCTCAGCCGCTCTTCATAAGACTTGTGCTCCAGACCCCTCACCGGTTTCATTGCCCTTCTCTGGACACGTTCCAGGGCCTCAATCCCTTTTTTGTAGCCAGGGACCCAAAACTGAACACAATCCTCAAGGTGCAACCTCACCAGTTCTGAGTACAGAGGGAAATCTGCTCCTCCCTTATCCTGCTGGCCACATTTCTAATGCAGGCCAGGATGCCGTTGGCCCTCTTGGCCACCTGGGCACACTGTTGGCTCATGTTCAGCCGAACATCAACCAACAGCCCCAGGTCCCTTTCCTCTTCACAGTCTCCCAGCCACTCATCCCCAAGCCTGTAGCGTTGCCTGAGGTTATTGTGGCCAAAGTGCAGGACTCAGCACTTGGCCTTGTTGAACCTCATCCCACTACCTCAGCACAGCTATCCAGCTTATCTAGATCCCTCTGAAGGGCTTCTCTACCCTCAGGCAGATCAACATTACCTCCCAACTTGGTGTCATCTTTAAACTTACTGAGTTTAAACTTACACTCAATCCCTTCATCTAGATCATCAATAAAGATATTAAACAAGATGAGCCCCAGTACTGACTGCTGGGAGACATCACTTGTAATCACGGGTCGCCAGTTGGACTTAGCTCCATTAACCACTACCCGCTGGGCACGGCTCTCTAGCCAGTTCCTTACGCAAAGAAGGGTATACCTGTCCAGGCAGCCAGTTCCCCAGAATACTGTGAGAGACCGTGTCAAAGGCTTTGCTTGAGTCTAGGTAGACTACATCAACAGCCTTTCTGTCGTCTACCACTCTGGTCACCCAGCTGTAGAAGGAGATGAGGTTGGTCAAGCAACCTGCCTTTCATCAACTTGTGCTGGCTGGGCCTGATCCCCTGGATGCCATGCACATGCTGTGTGATCTCACCCAAAATTATTTGCTCCACAACTTTCCTTGGTACCAAGGTCAGGATGACAGGCTTGGTACCAAGGTCAGGATGACATCCTTTCCCAGATCCTCCTTATGGCCCTTCTTGTAGATGGGAGTCTCAATATTCATATTAGAATGAGGGAAAGTATATTATTTGACACAAACTGATCAAAAGCTACGAAATCTTCTCTGTTACACCTGTCATGCTCCCACTCCAGCTCAGCCTATTTGCACCTTTTTATCCAGCTATTTGTGGGTACTTCCTTCTCCTCCTTTTAAGTGGCATGACAGTAAATGACTTTAATCTGAGAATTGTGTCCTGTTTGTATTTTAAAGCAGCTGACATTTCCAGTACAACACTTGTGGTGTTTATTACATATGGGAACATTCCCTCACAAACCATTATGTTGGCCACAAATGAGCTAATTGGAGCATTCACAAAAATATCCGTAGCTTCAGAAATGCTCATTTTTTTTAGGCCTTATCTGCTTCAGGGCTAACACCAAGCCAAGTCTTGCAGAACTGTAGCACAAGTTCTCCAAGTTGCTCTTGGCATTCCAAGCCCTGCACAGCTGAGGCCTGCTCACAACATAGTTATGTCTTGTAAATAATTGACAAGAGAGACATACGTTGGCAAATTCTTTTCTGCCACTTTGCCATTCCTCTCCAGATATCTCACATTTCTTACTCAGAGGGTTTCCAAATGGAACTGCACAGTAAATGCACTCTCTGTTGTTTCAACTTATGGCCCTGTGATTAATCAATGTCATTGTCTGGGAACTGAGGAAAGCTGCCGGACCCTTCTGTGCAGAGCCGAGTAACTGTTTGTTTAGTCTGCTCCCATAAAGTAAGCGGGGAAAATTATGACAAGTCACTAACAAGATTTTCTGTGCTTCATTTTCTGAGTGTCAGCTTTTCCCAAGCAACCACTCACATAAAACCAGAACTAAACCTTACTGTTGCAGGATGTAAGCGAGCAGCTTTACATTTAGCATTGGCAGTGGGTTTTGTCATTGCAGCATGTGGGCCAGCAACTTCCTAGGGCTAGGAGCGCTTGGAGTTGTGGGTGTGCTGGACTGGTGGAGGGCACCAAGGCAGCTGGTTAAAAGCCAGACCAGCTGATGGGACCAACAGCTGAGCAGGGCTGTGGGGAGCCTTGCTCTGATGCAGCCTCGGTGGGACAGAGGCTAACAGCCTGAAGCCCTGTGCAATGTAGGAGGAGCTGGGCAGGGCCCAGGTAAATAATTCAGTGCTGCAGCAAAACTGTTGCAAGGCCATGACCCCTCATATTGGCTTGTCCAGGCATGTCAAACATACAGTCCATGGTCTACACGTGGTCCAGCACCGCTTGCAATGCGGCTGCCCTCTGCCATCACAGCGGCAACTCTTCCCCATCAAACACCTGGCCCTGCCCAACTCCAGGCATGCACCCATCACTCAATAATAACCAAACATCAGTGCACTATTAACTCTAATTTGGCTGAAACTGGGGCATGGGTTGTAGTACAAACAAACAAGAGCAAACTCAAACTACGGCAAATAATTGTATGTATTTTGATACATGGGCTAAGCACAGTCCTGTGAACAGTGAAAAACATGCAGCCATGCTTTCTAGTTTTGATAAAGGAGTGCGAGAAGAGAATAGGTTTCAAGATTGCCAAAATGCCTTTTTCTTTTTTTTTTTAATATATATACCTGCAACTCCATTTTCAGTCAACATAAATACATCACTTGCATATTTTCAAATGTAATGGATGGATACACAATCAAAAATTTGGTCATGCCTCTTTACCAGGCTTGGCTGGCTTTCAGCCAAGAAACACGGCTTCTAAGCTTTCTCTTACCAGAGAGAAATAACCCTCACTTCACAGTCATGCCTTATTCACATCATTGCTTTTGGCAGTACATATATTTGTGAACAACTATTTTGAAAGGTGAAGCACAGGAAGAGTAACATTTCATCAAAAATCTCTGATGAACACATTGAAAATCCACTAAAAATTGTAACTACTGCCATCAAACCAGCCTGATATGGAAGAACAAAAGCCCCCACAGTGGAGAGTTAAGTATCTTCTGCAACACACACTATCTGAAGTGAACATAAAATGGTAGCAGCCTCCAGCAAGCTCTTGCAGGTTCAGAATACAACACAAAGAAAGAAAAGCCATAATTGTTCCCAACGGTAGCAACACAAGCCATAGAGCCATAGCTAATAATCACCAGAACCATCTGCTCATCCAAGCAGCAACTCTTAGCACTAGCAAGTGATAGAAAGACTCTCTTATTTCAGGCATTTACTCAATACACAACAGAAAAATGTCAACAAAAATCAAGCATTTTCCCTTGCAATTCAGCATGCAAGAGATTCAACAGCAGGATTATCCATAGAAAATGCAA